TGTGATAATCTAGTTATTTTACCGTCCTTCGTTGACAGGTTTTTACAATTTACCATTAATTACTATGTATAAAATTAATTGTTCTCGTCACGATATGGCTGAAATATTGCCGATGTGACGATACATTTTAACTCACTCACAAATACATTGTAACGCGGCGTCGGCATCATTTCAGCCACAGCAGCGACCGCTATGGAACGTTGCAATGTTCCTAAGCGCCACTTACTTGAATGACTGTCCACGTCCATAGCATAACACACAACAATCTTGTCCACCCAAGTTATGAACTTTTTGTAATTATAGTTTTGCGTATATGTGTAAACTTCGTCTCGTCGCTATCAGGCTGAAACGATGCCGATGCGAAGTTAAATCGTAGGACTCACCTCTGTCTACTACCTTTCTGCCAAACCCCACCCAGCAACTGAAAAACTAGAACTTGCATACCAGGCACACATTCGTCCCTCGCTTATTAGTCTCCTGTGTCCTATAGATTTTCTTTCGCTTTCTTTGACATGTTGCATTTTGAGAATTTTCACAGACGGGAAATTACTGTTTAAAAGATGGTAAACTTTGAAAGAACAATATCAATGATCCCTTGAGACAGACGATTATGGAAATTGCAATTACATTCTATAAATAGTGTTGATGGTTTCTTTGTTAAAACGTAGCAAATTATATAGCAATGAATGTAAATTGTTCGGTAAAGATTTGTATGCTATTCGCACACACACGTTTCCCTCAGAGGATCAACTTGTCTCTCACGGATCCTGTCCTTCTTCTGAAATCTGTTATCCTGATGTGTTAGACATTCGTAAATCGATTTTTATTTGCTAACGTATATGCAAACTAGGAACTCCTTTGACCCGATCGTATAAGATGCATGCTGACCAGACCATCTCCTGTTGGGCATGAAAACCACCTGCGGGCATTGTGTTCCAATCTACGGTTCGCACCTGTTATCTATCCAACTTTGTCTGCGCTATACCAGGTTTTACAAAATTAAATAAAAGTCTAGTCTCATCTGCATCACTTACAGCTGTCCTCCAACATCATGTGGTGTAAATGAAATACTTTTTTAAAGCAGTCATGATCCAAACTATCTCACTTTCTTCCAGCAACGTTATCTCATCCAATAAATGCACATTACGAGGAAAAGCTGTTAGAGTCGTTAAATTCCATCACACTTGACTGACTGACTGAGTTTAGTTTTACGCTGCTTTTAGCAATATTCCAGCAATATCACGGCGGGGGACACCAGAAATGGGCTTCACACATTGTACCCATGTGGGGAATCGAACCCGGGTCTTCGGCGTGACGTGCGAACACTTTAACCACTAGGTTACCCCATCGCCCCCATCACACTTGAACCAATATGAGAAAGACTCCATATTTTATTTCTGAAAGCAGCAATTCAAGCACGAGGAGTTATTACTTATTCGGCAAGAAACCAGTTGTAAATTTGTGATCTGTTTTAGTAATGGTTTAGACCCGTGGGTCTCACCATCAACTAGTCATGAAATAGGTCGATGTATATCATTCGTACATGTAACAAGGTGTAGTTGATCCTTCCTCACATCCCGTTCGTATAAGGTTCCACGTAGTTCCGTCCTTTGATTGTGGGTTCGAATACCAATTATTAGTGTGTCAGTACCATGCCAATTGTCATTGCTTAATCGAATTAGAAATGTTTGAGATTACCATCACGTCAAACTTCGAGTGCACACAAAACTAACTCGCCTATTTCCCCCTCATGTCAACACCTGTCGATCATTAGACTTTCATGAAGCAGGCGAAGTGTTTCAGCCAATACTGAACACTTTAGTTTGTGGAAACATAAGGATAATTAGTGAAACATTATGGAATATAGCCGCATTACTTGTGTTGCGAACCATCCGTGTACCTCCACTGTTTACGTCTGCATTCTCACCAGGCCTGTAGTTAATTGAGTTTTCAACCTGCCCGAACATCACACAGTCCACATCACAAGGCCCAGATCAGAGAGGAAATGAAACCGATTTGTCCGCTGCCAATTTCTCTTTAATCTCGAAACTTTATGATTGAACAGCAACATCCGTATGACCACACAAGTGTAGGTTCAGTCCCAGACAAAAGGTCGACATGGGATTAAAAGCTTCTCAGTGCAATACAGGCATGACGTTTGGCCTATGGCAGCATAATGTTCATTTAATGCCGATCATTCCAATCATGACATGATTTTGTGATATTTTTTAGATTCCTCTTGTCCACTGAGAGGCCCGAGGCTGGGTAATATTGATGTCTCACACCTGGAAATACGATCGACCAGGAATATCAAGCATTACGCAAACTGCACACGCGGATCCACGCTAGACACAGCCACGAAATGAACAAAAACCCATTGCAAGCTGACACGTTATAGGCGTCTATCTCCCACACACACACACACACACACACACACATACACACACTTCCTGTAGTTCTCCCAATGCACAACAAATGAGGGAGTTTGATTTGTTGAATGGGATTCAAAGTTTACAATTGGTCTGCAGAATGCATGTGTTTTCTTTCTTGAGCCAAGCACTCGTTGTGTGAAACAGGAGTTGTCCATGCCACGCCCTTAGGAGAAACCTGAAGCAATGTATTTTGTTGATGGATTATCTGAAGCATAATTACTTATCAAAAACATCTCCGCAGAACAATATCTGAAATAAGAATGATGTGTTAAACTCATATAAATAGTACGTATTGATCTGCATTGATACTGTAAAAGGTTTCCGTTTAACCTACCCACTACGTCAAATTGCACCACAACAGACCCGTGGAAATTTGTTTTCTCAAATATCATTAAAATGTTACTTTTGAGGAATAAACACGTATGTATTGCAACTGAATGAAAGACGTGTATTACTACAAATTTTGAAATTTGATTTCCTATATTGTACAATGTCTAAATCCGATATTTTTGAAACTTCACAATCAGTGTTCTGTTGTAACCAGGGATCTCGGTCCCGCCAAGGTCCATGTGGTAAAAACCGTATTCGTATCAGAAGCCGCCAACAAAAACGCTAAGTCTGCAGTTATTTATGTGTAGTGTGACTTTACATACCCAGCGTCTAGTGTATTATGTACGTATAACATTGATCTAGATAATTCCGATGATCAAAACGTTGGCTTCGTCATTTCTGGAAAGGATCTATCGCCCCGGTCGTAATTCCTTCGACATATATTACCACGGGAAAGAATATAGGTGTTACTGTTCCGTACTGTCCAGATATAACGACCAACTCTTAATCAATCCAAAAGCTTAATGTCTGAGCCTTAGGTAATTACCCGAACAACAGGCGACTTCAGCGCACGTTGTGTCTGCGGTAGAATATGAAATACGTATACGTTTACAGGCCTGTCTGGCTTAATACAATGGAATGTCCGTGTATATAGTTCTTAAGCATGAAAAATGGACAATATATTCCAAAGGCTCATTACTAGTGACATGTCTAAATGCCAAAATATACGATCTTCAGATCTATGCAAAACATGAAGCGCCTGTTTCCTAATAACCTGAATTTCGCTATTTGGATATACCATCGATCTCCGTCTTCTGAAACCTAGATTACAACACTGAGGGGAACGTGTCATGCGCCTTATGCTTTAGTTTAAGCTGACTTGTAACATTCTGGCTTTAGTTTGGTACCAAACAGCTCTAGCTCCCGGCGTGTTTGGAATTAATCACCTCACAGGCAATGTCACTGTCAAGAAGAATACTGATATTATATACTCCTCACAAAAAGTTAAGCAACACAAATTTGTAGTCTCATTACATTTATATTTATTGAAATTGCAAATCATGGAATGATGCAATAGAAAGGTGAATCATATGTACACACGATTAACAAAATGAAATGAAAAGTATTGAGCAATAATAGACATAAAAGCATGTCTTTCCCTAGCTTATCAATGCTATCACCATTCTGCTCCTGCCTATCTGTCAGAACTCACAAAACACTATGAACCATCACGACAAATACGATCTGCAGACCTTTGTCTCAACTGTGTGCCAAAGCCAAAGCCTTTTTAAATATGGTTTGGGAAAATATCCCTTTCCTTCAACGCAGCAACATTGTGGAATAAACTGCCTTGTGATTTGAAAAGAAGGCAATTGCTCAATTGAAAATCTCAGCACTTTCAAAAGGGCTTTAAAGACTTATTACACTTATTATTATTATGTTTTACAGATTAAAGATGAAAATGCAGCAGAGAGGGTTCGGGTGATCCTGGCACAGTCAGGCTGGTAAGGTTCATCATCAGCTCAGGGCCCTTGCCCCCTCTACACGCAGCCCAGACTTCTCCCAGGAAACACTGCCTAGTCGAACCCACCAAGAACTTTCCGGAGAATATGAAGGCTCCCCAACACTGCAGCCTTCTGCATTACCGAGAGTGTCAGAAGGGCTATACTCCCGGTGGAGAACCCGGGCACTCTCCTGATCTGCGCCAAGAGATCAGGAGGTACCAAACCAAGGGCACCGAGAACAATGGGGAGCCTGACGACAGTGTACTTGGGATGCAAGCGAGACATTTCAAAGGCGAGGTCCGCATATTTATCATGCTTTTCCTGAATCTTGCCAATCACATTGGTGTCAAAAGTGACAGAAAATTCAATGATATAAATAAATTCATTGGCTTTATCAAAAAGGACAAGATCAAGTTTGTTGGCTGGAATTCTTCTGAGGCTGTATATGGGCCTATTCCAGAGAAGTTTGAAAGCATCATTTTCCATGACGCCCTGGACATGTTCAGGGTCGTACCATGGATGGACCTCGGAGTCAAAGCCACAGGCATGTCGAAAACGGTAATAAAAGCAACGAGCCATGCCATCATGTCGTTTAAGATATGATGTTTGTGCCAAGGCAGGGCATCCACTGACAAGGTGTTGGACAGCCTCCGTGAATTCATTGCAAAGTCGACATTTCATATTGATATTTTCTTTAAGAATCACATTTAGGCGATTGCGAGTGGGAAGTGACTGGTCCTGAGCAGCAAAAAGGAAGCCCTCAGTTTCACATTTAAGACCAGCCGACTTCATCCAGGCGAAGGAGTCGGTGGGATTGCTATTCTGTCCACACACTGCATGTACACACGATGCAATGACTTCTCAGAAAGCTTCTCCACAAAAGACCGACTCTGGGCAGACTTGATGAAGGACTTCACCTGGTTTACTCCCATCACTGTACCGTCCAGCAGTACATCGCCATCAACAAAATCAACCTCAAATCTCAGATTCTGTCCAACAACCTTGGCACGCTTAAAATAGCTGTGGAATTCCTTGCTTTCATCATGAGTCTTCACACGCATCACTAGAGGATCATCCGATAAATAAATATGTGCAAAAGTACACAATAAAATTCTATCATGAAGAGCCTCCACATTAATCAAACCCCGACCTCCAGAATTGATTGGAATGTATAAACGGTTCAGAGAGGAACGAGGGTGGTGGGCTCTGTTATCAGACATGATCCTTCTGGTCAGACGGTCAAGACTCTGCATGTTGTCCAATCAACTACTCCAAAGTAATAGGAAAGGACTGGCACAGCAAAAGTATTGGTGGCTTTGACCTTGTTCCGAGCATTTAGCTCTGAGCTCATGATTTTCTTTAAACGAGATTTGTACTCGGCCCGAAGTTTGTCTTGAATCTGGGCATTCTGGAGCTTGTCTCGAACTTGCATTCCAAGATAGGTGTAGGCCTGATCTTCCACAAGATGCTCAATAACTCCTCCCCTTGTAACTTGACCGATCCATCATTAGTTACCTTGTCACGTTTCAGATGAAGAGTATTACATTCGTCGAGTCCAAATGTCATGCCAATATCATTAGAAAAGGACTCGACAAGGAGAACCTGCTCTTTCAAATTGGATGTCATCCATGTAAAGGAGATGAGTAAGAGGTGTTGGAGATCTGTGCTGAGGAGGTCCGGGATGGTAACCCTCCTCTTTATTGAGCAGAAAGCTCAAAGGATTTAAAGACAGACAAAAAAGCAAAGGACTAAAGGAATCCCCCTGAAATATTCCCCATCTGATTGGGATAGATTCCGAAGTCTGCACCTGCCCTTGCGAGTACATCTCAAGTTGAGTCGACCAGCAACTCATTAAAGACTTGAGTAAATCAAGTAGTCGCTCAGGGAGGTCAATACAATGAAGAGCCTTCAGAATCCATTCGTGAGGGACAGAGTCGTATGCTTTTTTGTAGTCAATCCAGCACATGGAGAGGTTGCGGTGATATGTTTTAGCCTCTTCCAAAATCATTTTCTGTACAAGAAGTTGATCCTTGCACCCCCAACATCCCTTTCTTGCTCCCTTCTGCTCTCTGTAAATTATATCATTGGAAGAGCAGTAAGATGACACGAGGTTTGTCAAACACCCTGTGAATATTTTGTATTGTGTATTCAAACATGTGATAGGGCGGAAGTTTTTGGGATCAGTCAAGTCTCCTTTCTTGGGGAGAAGTATTGTGCGACCTTTGCGGAACCATGGAGGAACATCACCTGTGTCCACGAGAGTATTGAAACAGTGTCGTAATGGTGTTTGGACACAGGGGAACAGTTTCCATGCCGGTTTCGAATGCCATCAGGCCCTGGAGCTGTATAAGATGTGGACTTTTTTATAACACTTTTCAGGCAATCTGGTGAGATGTAACAGACAAACGACCTACTTACCTTCTCATGCATTGCATGGTCATAATCACGGACCCATGGTGCCTCAAGGTTACAGTTGCCGGGTACAGACCACAACTGTTTCCAGAACCTTTCATTGGCATCCATGGGAGGCCGTTTGTCATGTTCACCATCACCCTTTGTTTTCAGTTGCCATTATTATTATTAATTATTATTATTATTATTATTATTATTATTATTATTATGTACCCGCGACATAGTCGTGCAAAATGTGCTGCATTGATGGAGCAAAATGTTAACATTAAGGTTCCAGTCAGACAGTGAAACAGTGTACAGTAACGCGTATGGCCACCATGAGCACAAAGGCAAGCTTCTACACGTCTTTGCATTGACCAAATGAGCCTTTAAAGTTGCTGTTGTGGAATGTTCTGCCACTCGCTCTGTAACGCCTGTTCAAGGTCATCCAGATTCTGGGGATGAACATGGAGACCGTAAACACGATTTCCAATAATGTCCCAAGCATGTTCAATGGGATTAAGATCACGTGACCTTGCAGGCCAGTCCATATGGGTGATGTTGTTGATCTAAACAACATCGTTAACAACATTTTCTCGGGCATTATCATCCATGGACAGTCATTATCATCCATACACATGAAGTTAGGACCCGCTTGTTGTGCCAGGGGAGTGATTACAGGTAGGTGCATGTGTGAAGAGTGGGGCACATTCATGCCACACATTTTGCATGTTGTTTCTGAGTGTGGTTGTGTTCAGGTGATGTTTTCAATGTTATCAGATAAATCAATTTGACAGTCACTAAAGGTTATGCGTTCTTTGAATATTTACCTTTCACTAACATTGATAAAGATATTACACTGAAAATACTTATTTTTGTGAGGAGTTAAGTTTAACGAAAGCCGATTGAAATCATCTTTCAATCAGAGGAATATCTTGTAAGTACGGGGATTTCATGCCACCAACAACTCCTGGCACTGGGGATGGTACATACGTGCAGAGGAATCATTGGACAGGCTCTCTTTTACAGCATAAACATCGTACAGCCACAATACTTCATGAGTGGCATTTTTAGAAGTTAGAGGGTCAGATAAGGACAAACTATATGGGTGAATAACTTCTTTATTCAGGTGCTTATTTAATTATGCTAAACTAATACATATTCAACCCACGCCTATCTGAATAATGGAGGCTGGACCAGTCAGTCCAGTGACTGATATGAGCGTCGATTTATTCAACTTGTGTACGATGACACGTGTCATTCAAGTCCGAGTGTGTCCTGATCCATTTTTCTTTATATGCTTGTGTGAAAATGGCAATAACCTGACTGTTGACAAAGTAACAGTGAGTCATTACAAAAGTATATATGATTGAATAAAGGCAAGTTTTACGCTTGGTTTATTGCAATGATTATAATACATAAATGAAATGTACCGAATATTTTGAATTTGTGTTTTCATTTCAAATGCAAATAAGTCCTGCTAATTTGTGGAACGATTCATCGTATGACAACGTAATACACATACGGCAGCGTATATCAAATCTTTGATTATCGGAGGAGACAGGTTTCCTTGAAGGTTAACATCTGAGTAGATCACTGCATATCAGTATTGACCAGTATATAAAAGGTACATGTTAATTGGTGAGGTGAGGTGCAATAGGGTTTAACGTCGTTTTGAAAAAATCGTTAACAGTATATGCCTCCATTTAAACCGATTATAACATATAACTGTCCTTTTCAGGCTTGAAGTCTGAATTTTCAAGAAATAGTTACCAGTTACTGTTCATCCAGGTTTCCATTGACAAGAATTGTGTTTAACACCGGCAAATGAATCCTCTACTAATAAGAAACCTTGGGTTGTTTCTGGGACAAGCAAACGTATGCCGTATCTGTTTCCTTCATGGTCTGTCATTCATTGATTTGTTTTCAGCAACAATCGTGTATGTGCCATGTTTCATTATGAGCATGGGAACTTATAATAATAGATATAGATAACAAAATAGCGATGTCGCGTTGTGAATGATCCAAACACATACTGGTTGGGGGCACATATATTTCAACCATCGTCCCGAACCGTGTGCAAGTACTATTTAGATCGACGATGGCAAAGTTCATCAGTGTTCAGCGCGATGAGCGAACGCCTTAACCACTATGCTATCCCACCGCCCCATAAATACATAAGATAAGGCACCATCATGTTATTGTCAAACAAAAATAGCCAAAACATATTCCATATTTTAATGAAGATTGAAAATGCTTGAGAGAGATCTTTTCCCCCGTAATATAGAGTTCAAACATGTAATGTTTGTGTTTAAAACAAACATACACGAAATCGTCCCCTTTCCCTCGTGGATAAACAGGGGAGATCTTTCCACCGGAACACTTGTTTGTTTAAACAGGTCCATCATATTACTGATTATACAATATGGTCATGGCCGTGTGGGTTGGAAGAATATTTCTGAAATGAATTCCTTACAATTCCTGTAATTCAGTCAACACTGGAGATCCCTCATGTAAACATTGCGATACCACCTGACAGATCACGCTGTTCAATGCTGTCATATTTCAAATTTTCTTTTCCTAAACCTAACCCCCAAAATCAAGGACAAAATTATTTGTATTTCTACCTGTGTACACCCGTGAAGGTCCGAGTTAGATTATTGGCCTTCAGTAACCCGTGCTTATCGTAAGAGGCGACCAACAGCATCGAGTGGTCAGGCTTGCTGGCTTTGTTGACGCTTGTCACCGTAACCCAATTTGGTAGAGCGAAGCTGATATTGTTGATCACTGATTTATATGATCCAGATTCGCTTATTTACAGATCGTCGCCTTATAGATCGAATATTGTCGAGTGACTCGTTAAACAACAAACAAATAAAAACAAACCAAGATATCAGTCACTCTAGAGGTACTAAATACTGGCAAAATGAGAGTTTAAATCATGAAGGAAGTAGCGTGATATGCTGGACAGGAAAAGTAAAGATTATGTACAAAATTAATGCATTTTGTTAATTTTTGTGCAAAGTCCATTCATAGGATTCCTTTACTCAATACATAAACTGACAGCATTGCACTCATGCCCTGAAAAGGATTGTTTGAGGTACTAATCTTCAGATACATCGAAAGGTTACACTATCTTGATGAAGCGCATGAATTACTGTATGGTGACATTTGCCAGATCCTAATTGACATTATAGCTTGGAGATATAACACTAATATAGCGTTTCTGGTTCAGTTTAAGCCGTCCCAAAGGGGGAGATTTCTAATCCAATTACAGGATGTAGTTTAATCCATCTTGAAGCACCTAGGGGTACAGTTTCATGGAAAAGTGTCTCAAAGATTTCCAGGAACATTTCATATTTGAAGGAAGGGTTTTACGAAAACGCTCACTGCTTCATCTGCGAAAACAGGATATTTTGTGTTGAACTGACGCTTACTTTGATTGTCCACAAGGCAACGTGACGACGTTGGATAAACATAATCCATTCCATGACAATTTGCTTATAATTTGGGGTTACAAAATATTTCTCCCGAAAGGATTACTTCAGGTAATCAACACAGAGTATGTAACTGTTGAACTGAATGGTTTTTGGGTGCTCTAATGGGAGATAGTAAGGTTTGAATCATGCCTTTATGAATAATTATTATTATTTCCACCATGCCTAGTCGACATTAATAACAACATTATTATTATTATGAAGCCAACAACGTCAAGGTCGATTCACTGCCGATGTTAAAGGTGAGAGGAATAACCTTTTCTTCAGCCATTTTTGGAAGGCACTTTTTATTTAAATGAGTGATAAACGATTGTTTATTTTTTCTTTATGTTCATTGTCAAGGACAATAAGTTTATGTATCGGTGTGTGTTCAAACCATAACGACCACAAAACAGCTATCTTTGCCCATGCTGAACTTCTGTTACATCGATGGAAAACGAATTATACTTTTGCACTTTACAACTATCCCGTAGATGTACCCAATGTGGTATTGGCTTTATTGCACTTTATTTCGAGATGTTATTTTTAGCAACGTCTAGCAATAACTTTTAACACAGAATCAACTTTGAAGATCAACATTTTTAGCGGTCCTTTCAGACAGAAGGTATTTTCTTACATCCTTGGTTCAATAATAAATTAGTTAAACGTTTTATTGCTGAATCACTGAAATGGTGTTGGAGTAGCCTTATGGTTTCAGCGTTCGCTCGTCACGACGAAGACCCCCAATCGATTCCCCAAATGGGTACAGTGCATGAGGAACATGTCTGGTGTTCCCTGTTCTCATCCATATTCCAGTAATCTTAGGCTCAGTATAGTTACGTCGCCTGATCGTTTGTTTGAACACCGCGTTTTACCAAAGCTGTAAAATCCTCACTTCAGGCTACATTGTTGAAATCATGTTAAACCAAGTTCACTCGCGTTCCCCAAAACATAGTACCACGATCCCTCTGAGAAAGGCGAGCAGTCTTATCTTACACCAAAACCTGTTATTTTCTATAGGATTTATAGACAATAATATACCACCATTGCTTGTATTGTCATCAATCCGTCTTCATCAAGGAATGATCTCTTGAGTTTGGATTCTGACCAGGCCAGTACATGTAGTTGAAAGTGTTGTTACCAACCTGCCCGCACATCACACAGTCTACATCACAAGGCGCAGATCCGACAGGAAATGAAACAGATTTGTTCGATACTGCCATGTCAATTCCTCGTTAATCTTCAATCTTTATGATTGGACAGCAAAGTCCGCAAGACCACACAAGAGTAGAATCAGCCCCGGCCGAAAGGATTACAAGCCTCTCTGGGCATGACGTTTAATATAAAGCCTATTTATCCAACCAAAGCATGTTTGTGTGATTTATCGTGACGCTTTTATGTGTCAAATAGGGTCGAACAGGGGCTGTAACACTGCTGTTATATACCAGGAAGTATGATCGTTTAAGCAAATAGAGCAATATGAAATGCGTAGGTGGTTGCAGGATTATGAAAACGTGAGCACTGGACCCAGTCGCGAAACAGAAATCACATGGCATATTGACACGTGACACGTGTCTGAAGAAAACAACACGTGAGTGCTCTGATGTGACGTGATTTATTGATGAATAGGAGATGCAGCTAACAGTTATCCTTAACCACAGTATTCCTCGAGGCTGTAAAGACAGTAGGACTTCTAGTCGAGTTCAGCACACTCGGGAATGTTTAAACCATCCAGAGTTGAAGATGTCTAATCCAAAAGGTGGATATTGTAGTTAACTCTCTCTTAAGGCACCGAGGAGAACAGTTTTATGTAAATGTACCGTGATGTATTAACGGTTTGCAGGATCGAACTGAACCTTAATATTTTTCCAGGGATTAGTTTTACATAAACGTTTACTGCCACATGGGCGAAAACAGATTGTTTTGTCTTTAAGCTG